GAAATATTTGGAATTATACAGGATGCGCCCACAAAGTAGAGCGCCAAAATGGTACATTTCTTTAAATAGAATCCCCTGTATTTAAATGCATTTTTTAATTCTACGTGTAATTGTACGTCTTTTTTATTATACTAGTAGTTTTAAAGATAATTCGATTTGTAAGAAAAATTGGGCATTTGCAAGCGTCAGTATATTGTCAAAATTATTACTTAATTTTTGATTCCAGGCTTTATATCTTTTATCCTGGGTTAAATAAAATCAAGTAAATACATCTACTATGAAACATTAAAAAAAATAGCTTACAGGCTGTTTTTTTGGTAGGTCCAAAGTTGCAAAACTTCATATTAAAAATCTCACCCTGTATATTTTTCTGTCATCTTTTAGCTCCTCCAAAAACCTTCAACTTTTGATAATAATGTCCTATACCTATCTCTGACATTTTTCAGAATATCTTGGTTTTTCTATTCTAATCTTAAATAAGTTATATGTAATTTACATTATAACGAGGTGGCCATCCAAAAAAAGGCAATTTTTATTTCCCTCGTCCAAAGCTAAAATCATATTTATTAATTCATTTTTCGAATAATTCATTTAAGTCTAAAAACTGGAGAATAAATTTGATAGTAAAAACATAAACAAATATCTTGGTTTTCCTAGTTTTTATATTTTAATCTGAAATGCGTTCTAATTTACATAATAACGAGGTGAATATGAAAAAAAAATGAAACTAATATCACTAACTGGATGACATTAGGGGTTAAATTAAATTTGCTTTGTAGTCAAATGTTTTTACTTATTTTCCAGTTTTTGGACTTAAAATAAATTGTTTGAAAAATAAATTAATCGATATGATTTTCGTTTTGGACGAGATAGATAAAAATTGCCTTTTTGTGGATGGCCACCTCGTTATTATGTAAATTACATATAACTTATTTAAGATTAGAATATAAAAACCAGAAAAACCAAGATATTTTGAAAAATATCAGAGATAGGTATAGGACATTATTATTAAAAGTTGAAGGTTTTTGGAGGAGCTAAAAGATGAGGGTGAGATTTTTGATATGAAGTTTTGCAACTTTGGGCCTACCAAAAAAACACCCTGTAAGCTATTTTTTTAATGTTTCATAGTATTTATTTGACTTTTACTTAACCCAGGATAAAAGATATAAAACTTGGAATCAAAAATTAAGTAATAATTTTGACAATATACTGACGCTTGCAAATGCCCAACTTTTCTTACAAATCGAATTATCTTTAAAACTACCAGTTTTTCGGATATTAACCATATAATAAAAAAAGACGTACAATTACACGTAGAATTCAAAAATGCATTCAAATACGGGGGTTCTATTTAAAGAAATGTACCATTTTGGCGCTCTACTTTGTGGGCGCACCCTGTATAATTCCAAATATTTTCAAAATGTGAAGAATATTCAACTATATCATAATACAAAAGTACTCCATCGAAAAATCTTATCTTCAAGGCATTAAGTTACTCCGCGCAATCGTTGACTCACCTTGTACAGTGCGTAAATGTCAACTCTGAAAATACAAATCTCCTGAATATAAAACACATATGTTCATGTTCAATTCTACGTCAATGCATTGATATGCCTGATACTCATGCAACCCACCTTACACAAATTTGACAGTAGGCACTAGGCTGTAAATTGAATATAAAATATAGGTATTCAAAGCAGTAGGTAAACAAAATAAATATATCTCACACCGTTTTAAACTGTGATTATAGAAAAAAATTGTAACATTTCCACTTTTTAGCGCATTTCCACAAAAATAAAAAAAAATGCGCTATTGTGGCCACTTTGTCCGTCCGTCCGTCCGTCCGGCTGTCCGTCCGTTCGTCCGTCCGTCCGCTCGTTTTGCGACGCTACTAGTTCTTTATCTTAAGAGCTATTGTTCTACTTTTTTCGCTATTTGGTTCGTTATGGTGTCGAGTCTTGTACCAAGGAAGGAATTTTTTCTGTACCGCTTACAAAAAAAGTTATTGTAAAAAAAACAAAAAACCGTTTTTTACATGTTCCATAATTTTACACTTTTGCCGTTTATTAACGATCCTAGAGATCGTTTATAATTTTGCATTGCTATCTGTCGCCTGCCTGGTTGGTCTCTCCGTCTGTTCCTTTGTCTGTCTGTCCATCTATCTGTCCGTGTGAACGATAACTTTGTTTAGAAATGTTCGATCGCTTTTACATCTCCGTTAGTTATGAACTGAATTGCATGAAATTCAATATGGGCATAGCTTTAGCCATATAATACGCAATGCCAAAAGTTGAATCGAATCGATTCAAAATTCACAGTGCCCTTTTCGCATCTCGACCATTTATAAACCGAATTGCAAACTTTTTTACTTATAAAAGTATTTGAATGAAATTTGATACATAGGCACTTGGAATAAAGGAAAATCAACCGCCAATTTCAAAATTGGTTTTGCGCATGCGCAGTGCCAACTTTTTTATTTATGGAAGAATTTAAACGAAATTTGATACATAGGCACTTGGGATAAAGGAAAATCAAACGCCAATTTTAAAATTTGGTTTTGCGCATGCGCAGTGCCAACTTTTTTATTTATGGAAGAATTTAAATGAAATGTGATACATAGGCACTTGGAATAAAGGAAAATCTAGCGCCAGTTTCAAAATTTTATTTTGCGCATGCGCAGTGCCAACTTTTTTTATCTATGGAAGTATTTAAGTGAAATTTGATACTTAGGCGCTTGGAACAAAGGAAAATCTAACATTAGTTTCAAAATTTAGATTTGCGCATGCGCAGTTCCAACTTTCTTATTTAGAAAAGCATTGAAATGAAATTCTTCTCATAAACTGAAATTGAAGTAGCACGTCAAAAGTGGATTGCCCATGTGCAACGCTATCTTTCATATTTGTGGTCGGATTTTTACGATTTTAATAGAAGTTGCATCTTACAAATGGGAAATGAATGCAAGTGGAAATGCGCTTTATGTAAATCGTTTACGATTACTGTTTATCTTGTTCTTTTTTTGCTTACATTTTATTAATGATGTACAGACTCTTAATCCAGATAACGAAATTTATTGAAAAAGTAAATCAAATTATTCGCTAGACTAAAGTAGGTAAGATTGTTTGCATATTTTAAGGGGCATTTGACGTGTACATTTTAGAAATTACCAGAGTTTTATATGTGCAGGAGATTTGTTTATTCAGAGTTGAAATTTAAAGTGTGTTTCCTCCATTTGCGGAGCGCTCTGAAGTTATAACGTGGACCAAATTACGAATGCATAGCTAAAAAAGCGGGACCAAAGGTGAATACGACAGGTTTCTGACCAGTAGCAGCTGAAAATGAATTATTGAGCTAACCCGGGACATTTCGTTTTTATTATGTATCATTATTATGTGGTAACGCGAATAATACGTCGCTCGCTAAGGTGTCCTCTTTAGACCGGGAGATGGTGACACTTTTTGTGGTGTGATTTGCTACAAGTATGGCGACCATTCAAAGGTTTAATTAAGTACTCCTGAAAACGAAAATGGTGCTAACTCTCTGGGAGTGGGGCCGTTATTGAGTGACGATTGTTTAAACATGTCGGAAAATGTAATGATTTTGGACAATTTGCTACACAAAATTCTTTGGATTTTCTGGTAGTCGGTGACAAAACAAATGACGGAAACGAAATGCCATACCGGCACAAAGGTGTCATTTTTGTTAATAATTTTGGGCGATTTGCTACACCCTATACATTTTTCCACCAGTTATTTTTAGAGTCAGAAATAGAAATTTCGATACGCCATACCTGTGGCATGGGCCAATTATGTATAATATTTTTTCAAAAATGTAAGAATTTTCGGAAAATTTGGGCGATTTGCTACAGTATGGCAATGGAAACGAAACAGAAGAGACCGATGACGATGTTGAGGAATCCGATACCGATGACGAGTAATTGTTAAACGCGAGTACGATGTTATACCTTGTTGGGATAAGTTAATCAATTTATAACAATTATTCTTTTGAATGGATTGTGTTATCAATTTTTAATAATAAAATCATTTCTCTGAAGCTCGCGAGAAGATCGTTTTCAAGGTTCCATGCTTGCTGCAGTTATAGTACAAAGATGTTTTAGGAACAGATTTTCGAGTATGGTGCCATATTTAGCCTTCAAGATGAGTATGGCACATCCAAATGCCATACTGTAGCAAATCACCCAAAATTATTAACAAAAACGACATCGTTGCGCCGGTATGGCGGCTATCCGGGCCCGTCGGTGCGGTATGGCAGGTTGATTTTCGTGAATGACTGATTGAGGACTTGATGCTCATAAAAAAATGAGCTTGTAGCAAATCACCCAAAAAAAAATAAAACAATCGACACGTTCAAATGAGTATGGCGGGCTATATAAGGCCCACCGGAAAAGTATGGCATTTCGTTTCCGTCATTTGTTTTGTCACCGACTACCAGAAAATCCAAAGAATTTTGTGTAGCAAATTGTCCAAAATCATTAAATTTTCCGACATGTTTAAACAATCGTCACGCAATAACGGCCCCACTCCCAGAGAGTTAGCACCATTTTCGTTTTGAGGAGTACTTAATTAAACCTTTGAATGGTCGCCATACTTGTAGCAAATCACACCACAAAAAGTGTCACCATCTCCCGGTCTACTATCCAGTGTTGCCGACTTTTCTTCTATTTTTATTCGTAAATTGTTAAATTCGAATACATACTTGCAGAGAAATCTGATTTCCTTTATCATTCGACGATCGCAAAAATTGTTCGCCCTCATATACCCAAACCGTGGGCATGATTATACACAAACATTTTGTTAGCTGTAATAGCGCAACATTAGCCATATCAAATAAAACTAATAACATAACATGAATGTAGGTATTAAGCGCGAAAGGTTAACGTAATATACAATAAATAAATTATTATTTCAGTAGGTAATCAATTCTTTTTGAGCATAATACGATATGACAATGAACATGAACACAGTTTAACGTCACAAACAAACCTTGTTTCAGAAGAAACCCTCGAGATAATATCAAATCCGAGTCTATTTCATGGAGCAGGCTACCGCTAATCTGTTGCCGATTTCTACTAAGCACTCGGTTTATCCTTCGAGCTTCCTTACTAGACTTGCTGTTTCCTACATTTATTTGGTATAATATCTGAATAAATGAGATCACAAAAAAATCTACTACCTATACTTATACTCGTAAAAACTACTTATTATAACGTTATAATAGTAAATCAGTATGATAGGTACAAGGTGGTCCAAATTTAAGCATATTTGCATTCGTTAATATGGAATTATTACATTTCTATGGCGAGTGCTGGAAGTTACTCATAAACTATAGTAACCTATTGAGTATCAAATACAAGCGAAAAATATTCAGGTATGACTGTTAATGACTAATCAAATCAATTTGAAAAAATACCAAAAGTCACAAGAAATTTCAAAAAACGAACACGTTTCCCTGTGATCATTGTGTTGTTCAAATAAAGTTTTTGCTTAGTTCCGGTTTAAACGTGTTTCTTCAATTCAGTCTTTAATATAATAAGGGGCGATCAAAAATGAGTTGCTGTCGAGTCGCCTTTGGACGTTCAAAGTACGATTTCCCATGTACACAAGACACCCAAAGGATACGACAGCAACTCATTTTTGATCGCATAGTATTAACAAAATTATACACTGTTTAATCATGGATTAATCAGATAAATCCTGATATGAAGCAAGGTGTTACAAGTTAGGATAGTCCTATATTATTATGAAAGAATGTAATGTCAATGTGTGTAAGGCATAAACGATACAAGTAATTAACACCACATTGCTATAAGAAAAAAACAAACTGTAAATGATTTTCTGGTTCAGTTAAAAGAAGTAATAATTAATGGACTGTATTTTCCAATCGGTGACGGAAAAACGCCAGTAATTTCTAGAATCAATATTGGTTCTCTCGTTTTGTAGTTTCTTATCCGGCTCGAAGGATCAAAAAGTACATGATTTTCCTGTATAACTTTAAAAATATAGTGCAATTTTGAAAATTAATGGAACAGTTTGAATTGTCACCAATGTACCAATTTTAGGTTGTAATTTTTCCAGACGTTTATTTGATGCTTCGGGGCATATTTAGGATTACAGTAGCGCTCCGGCCCGCCAATCAAAAAGTAAAAATGTGCACTACCAAAAGATATTATATGCCATAATACAAAGACCCTATTTCACGCCTATTGTAGCTCAAAAACCATAAAGGGGAAAGCTGTACTTTGATAAAGTTTAAAAAATATGCTGTGGTCAGCACAGATACCACCCGCAGACCTGCGTATGTGCAATTCTGCCCGAAACCGCTGCAGCTCTTTCTTTTATGTCTAAGAATATGTGTACCAAATTTGGTCCTAATCGGTTCATCCGTTTAGCCGGAAATGAGAGTACAGACAAACAGACCGACAGGCAAGCCGACATCATCGAGGTTTTTGTTTGATACGGATTCCTGGTGCTTCAAAATGTGCGTTTCTGTCAAAAAAAAGGGGGTCTTTTTTTACCCCAATGCAATACCTAGCACGTGATTGTGGGCTCCCGACCCAAGGGGGTCCTCGGCCCAGTTCAAATGTCGCGTGCTTGGGGGCCCCGCAAGCTGTAAATTCGAGCCTGCCCTTACTAACGTGCGGGTGGTAAAAAGATTCATCCAAATCGGTTGAGTTTAACCGGACATATGCTGGTGAAAAAAAAAGTCGGTGCTTTACAGAAACTGAGATGAGGGACAATTTTAACCCTGGGCATTTGCAATCTCAAGGTTACTTTGAGAGATTTTGAGGTATTTTCCAATATGGCCCTGAAAGCTGAAATAGGTACTTTTTTCCATTCAATTTCGGATCAAATTCTAGTAGTCCAGGGAATAGAGGGTTTTAACTTGCAAAATGAGAAGTAGTTTCAATTTCTTTTGCATGTCATAGACAGTCATCTGGTGGTAAAGAATCTAAGTTTTCGACCTCCCACCCCTTGTGCTTCCCCCGTACCACCCCCAAAACCCCTGAAATTTGGTTGGTTTCTTAGTTTTTCAATCATATCTTTTTAATGGTTCACTTTAGAAAAAAATATTGTCATCAGAAATTGTAGACCATAAAATTCTACATAACTTTCATACACACTACTTTTTTGTGAAATGTTTATTAAAAAAGATATAGAGCTTGAAAGTTGGTTATATTTTGAAGAATTCTGAAATTTTTATGTAGATGTTTTAACTAAATTTCATACTTTATCTTTATAATTAAGAGTTTTATGAGAAAATATCTTGAATGTATTGTGGTATAAATCCCTCTACCCTGCACCCTTACCAAAGGGGATGCATAATAATTAAACTTGCAACCCTTGCTAGTGAGGATATTTGAATCACTGTGAGATTGTAGCGCTTTCTAATATACTTTTGAAATTAAAAAATTATCTCACTTCAGTTCAGTTTCACCCCCTCCCCTCGCGCGGTAGGAATAGATATTTAAACGCTCTTGTGGCGATTGTGAAGTTAGTCAGAGAGTACAACGCTTATTATATATGTTTTCTATTCCTCTTTAAATATCTATTCCTACCGCGGTTGGGGGGAGGGGCGGGGGGATGAAGGATTTGAAGGATGAAGCTGAACTGAAGTGAGATAATTTTTTTGTTTCAAACGTATATTAGAAAACCCTACAATCTCACAGTGATTCAAATATCCCCACTAGCAAGGGTTGAAGGTTGAATTATTATACATCGCCTTTGGTAACGGTGTAGCGCAGGGGGATTTATACCACGATAAGTTTAAGATATTTTCTAATAAAACTCTTAATTATAAAGATGAAGTATAAAATTTGGTTAAAACATCTACATACAAATTTTAGAATTCTTAAAAATATAAGCAACTCTGAAGCTCTATATCGTGTTTAATAAACATTTCACAAAGAAGTAGTGTATATCAAAGTTGTGTAGAATTTTATAGTCTACAATTTCTGATAACAATATTTTTTTTTGTAAAATGAATCTATAAAAAGATATGATTGAAAAACTAAAAAACCAACCAAATTTCTTTGGTTTTAAGGGTGGTACGGGGGAAGCACAAGTGGTGGGAGGTCGAAAACTTGGATTCTTAACCACCAGATATTCTTTCATCACATGGAAAAAACATTGGAACTACTTCTCGTTTTGCAGGAAATGGTCCATTTTCAGTCTCTATTTCCTGGACTATAGTATTATTGGGCTGATATGGGTCTTCAGAAGAGTTTACATGACAATACTGAAAGCTTCCCGATTCGAGTACCTAAAATAATCTCGGCATTCTAATAATAGTAGCACAGATCAGAGAAGCATTAGAGACCAAACACTACGAAAGTTGGGATACACATTCCTCATTACTGTACTTTAATGCGCATAGCAATATAACAACCTCAAAATTTGGAACACCTCGTATCTACCTCCTATCTAATTACTGAATTACATTAAATTCTTAACGTGTGTTTATGTCATTAGGTATCAATTGATTAATCGGTTAAATAAATAATTAAATCAAATGTATATTTAACTCATTAATTTATCGCAGTGAATTATTTATAATACTACTTATTGTGGCTCACCTATCATCATCAAATAAATAATAAAATTTTTTTCGACTGAAATAATATGCACCCACTTGAATAAAAATAGATCATAATTTTTCAGTTACGTAATATTTAAGCATGCTTAGAATCAAATTGTGAACGTCCGGCAGGAAATTGTTTTTATTACACATAAATCAGCAAGGTTACTTTTAAACGATACATTTGGCACAAATTTCTGAACCGTCGAAACATAAACATGATTCTGAAAGTGACATTAAATTTTATGTCAAACTCCCCTTCATTCCGAAAACGAAACCGAAATAAATGGGAGTTGCAGGTACGCTAATAATTAAAGCGGCCTCCCTCGTTTATTTTCTTCCATAAAATGTTTGCTTTTCATAAATGGCCATTAGCGTTCAGTTTGGCAAACTTAAAAATTAATTGCTATTTTTATCTAGTCGTGGAAGTTCGTAAACACGCCATTAGAAGATTAATTTCAGCATTTATATTTAGAACGTTAGTGGACATTCGCAATCGCACAAGACACACAACAATAAATTAATGATTAATATAGAAAAAGAAACACGAAGTTAGGGTTAGTGCCATGACAACGAAATCCCACCACTCACCCTCTTTAGTGTCGTTTTCTGAGGTTTCTGCAGCTCGCCTTGTTATATCAACAAATTCTTGTAGATGTTTCGGAAGTTCTTTCGAATGTTTCACCGAATCACCGTCAATAACTAACACCGGTTCCGCGCTATCCTCTCGATCTTCTGATAAATGAACGAATTCCTCGCTATCATCCCGTTTTAATCCGTGTTTCTGCAATCTTTCCTTAACTTTGTCCATAAATTCGTTTTCTATACCACTCACGTGCGTTACTTCACAAATGTTATTATTACTTTCAATTAGTTCGTCGTTTTGTACCGTTCGAGAAGATGTGATTTTGATTACCTTTTGCAGTTTCCTTTCCTCCCGATCCGCGACCTTTTGCATGTACTCGTTGTACATTTGCTGGCGGAAAACTTCCGTAGGTCCCGTGGCACTTGCTTTCTGTTCGGCGCCGTTTGTTAGGGGTACATTTTCGTCGTTGTGAATCGCGATGTCGCCCTTCTTTGATATATGATATTGACTAGTTTCGAACTGTTTCGGGGGCACTTCTGATGTCATTTCGAATAAAAGTTTCTTTTTCTCTTCTTCCAACTTTTCTATTTCGACTTGTATCTCCTTTTCCTTTTCGCGAATATACTGAAGTTGACGTTGATAGACCTCCTGTGGCAAAGAAAAGCGACGGTGGGATATATCTACAGACCGAGCAATATTCTCAACGGAGCTTTGCATTCGCCTGCTTTCATTTAGGCGACTTTCCGTTGATGTTCTTGAGGCAGTTGCGTTTTTAGACTCATGACTTAGTTCCGGTACACTCGCGCTTTTGTCTCGCAGATTCGAGTATTCGAGAAATTTATGTGCAGGTTTTGTATCAGACGTCGCATCCATAACAGAATTTAAATTACATTTAACGTTGTTTAATAGATTTCTTTTCCTGTCTGGTTGCGTCTCAACGTTTGAACTACGGTCCGAACTCGAGGATTCTCGGATGATTGCCAAGAGTCTATTACTGACTTTTCTAGGTTGAGATAAATTTTCATTAAAAGCGTCTAATTCTGAAGACAATTTAGTAATTTTGCCATGCTCATCGCGCTCATTCGAGTTCTCCTCGTGATATCCCCGCCTATTTAAATACATTTGATGTAATTCAAGCAATTTGCCGGCCTCATTCGGTACAATGCTTGTTGTTTCTAAATGCGACTTTTGCGTTGGCGATAAACACACTATCACTTTAGGATCTTGCGTAGGTATACCGACCCACTTTTCGTAGGGATTAAGGGGCATTTCCTTTCTTGCTGCTGGAACTGTAAAAGAATCGTTAGTATCCCTTTCATTATAATGTTTTAGCATTAACGAGGGTGTTACTGATGAAGGGAAATGCTTAAGCAGTGTTTGTAACGAACAAGATAATTGCGATTGCCAACCGCTCGTTAATTCTTCTAGTCCTTGTGAAACTTGCGCTAATTCTTCCAAAATTTCAGCACCAAAGGGAAGTGTAGCCAAGATTTTTAAGCACAACTCTCTTAGAGCCGGCGGGCTATTGACGTCATCCTTGCTTATTTCAGTTATGGAAAACTGGAGCTTATTCTCACTTCCGTCACATAGTGCACTATTTGTCATCATTTCATTTTGAGGAGTTACATTATCAGGCGTTGGAGGTGGTGTTAATTGAGACGCAGGTGGCAGTATCTCATTTTCACACTTTACAACATCGCAACTGAGATTATTACTGTTTTCCTCAGACTCTGACATTTCATCACTGTCGTCTATGTAAACGAACTCCGTGTCAGAAATACTTCTTTCGGTTAAAGACGTACTCCAACTACCTTCCACATTTACAGCCCGTTGCAAATTCCCTCCGCAATCTACAACCCCTTTGGTATATGAACCTGGTAACTCCTGCACTCTCATAATACGCTTTTGTTCCACGCCATTGTGTGTAGAATCGCGATCGCTGTTGTCGCTACTTTCTTCCTTAATTACGTCTAAATAACGAGGTTGCTGTAATACAGGCATAAAGTGTTCAGCAATCGCCGCACGTTTCCGAGCTTTTCTTTCCTTGTAACCTTCTTTTTTCTGTAATTGTTCACTGCCGTCTGCAGGTGAAGTTACAAGATTAATTTCGTCTGAAAGCGTTGTACGGTCTTCTGGAGTGATTAAATTTATTTGAATTAACTCCGGTTTACGTTGGAGCTGAGAGGATACCGAGCTCAATATATCACCGTACTGTTTTTCTGAAGGTTCGGGCGCCATTTCGATGGTTTCTTCCCATTCAACATCAGAATTTGCTTCCGTTATCAACGCGTTACACTGCGAAGAGATTTTATCATCACATTCGCTAGTCTCCGATACTTCTATGATTTTAACGTGATCGTCGTCATCTAAACTTTTGCTTTTAACTACTGTACCCGAATTTCGCCTTTCATTTAATGTTACCGTTTCAGGAGATTCAACTCTATAGTTAGTTTGTGCCTTATCTAAAAGTTTGTTGTCGATCAATGCTTTCAATTCATTTTCAGTCTCACAATTTTTATTCACGTCCTCATCTGGCTTGTTTTTTACCTCACTAATGCTTGGAGTAAATTTCGGCGTTTCCATCGTAGAGTTCGGCGAATTGTCAGTCGATACTACGTTTAAGTTTATACACTTTTTACGATACTCTCGCGCACGTTTTTTATGGGACCTTGAGTGTCCCCCCATTACCGTATCAGATATTACGTTTTCCTTTTTATCAGCCGTGATAGCTTTCGTCGCTAATATTGCCGTATGAGCTCTACTTTTGCTATTGCGAGCTGCAGAATTACGCGTTTGCTGGTGCAACTCGGTGCCAATTCCTAAGTGCACACCTTACAATAGGTATGGATAATGGAAGATAGCTGGCAGATTAAAATCAGTGCTACAGGAAGACGAGACATTGTCATTTGCTAATATGTAACAGGGTGGATCAAGTTTGTTACATGCAAAAGGAAGTTCGTATTTTTACCAGTCACGCTCTATCGTTATACACCGGATGAAAGGTAGTACGTCATGACTTCGAAAAGTAATTAAGGGATAGGTATTATTACGTACCTACGATTTTTGGAATTGGAAGTAATCCTGAAATGGTACACGAGAACACACAAACACCTAAATTTAGTTACACTTATTTTTGTGCGAACACTGGTAGTGAATTGGCCATAAAAGCTATCAACAAACCAATAATAGTTTACTGTCACTTGCATGCATAATCAACAATTAAGTATTATGAATGAGATAAGCGAGTTACTATGTGGCCTTCACAAAAATTGTTTACAAAATTACGTGTCTTACTAACTGATTGTTTTATCAGTCTATGCTATTAAATTGCAAGTAGATAATTAGTACTGTACAGTACATATACAGGTAAAAAATTTCATACTATTGTAAAGAATGCGTTGCCAAAACAGCCGATCACAAAAACGCCTCGACGCCGACGTGATATTCTCAGTAAAGCCGGGTCCATACTTGCTATATAACATTGCTATATAGCAAAGTTATATAACATGTTACAAAAATTTAGGCTAAATGTAGTAAATTTCCTTGCTATATAACTTGCTAGATTTTATCCGTCTCGAGTCGGTAAGATCAAAAGAAGTTATGCAGCACTGCTAGACAAACGCGTTCATACTTGCTATATTTACAATGTCAACGACTGATGTCGCCAGTGTCGCACATTGAAATTTAAAGCTTCCCCTGTAACCCTTCCGCAATTGATCGAAATCGTCTCGTTTCAGATCTTCTAATAAATGAGTCCCACTATATTCACTTCTTGATCTTAGTGTAGGTCGAACTCCAAAACTTCCTTTTTCGTGATTTTTTCTTATCCTTGGTAAGTAAATTTACGCACGCTGCTGCTGCACAGAGTTGGTCTTCTGCGTTTGAAAGGTCCATCTTGACTAACATTAAGTGTGGACGCAACCATGTTTTTAACAACAGCTACATAGCAGAGTTATATAGCAACGTTACTCAGTCTGGACCCGGCTTAAAACTACCATGAGAGTGCTAGAGGAAATAGAGAAAGGATTATCGACTTTTTGTGGATATGTTTCTGGAGGGTATTCAATATCCCCAAAATCCCCCGGTGCTCATGCTTTCCCAACAAAAGGAAAGGGAAATTCTATCGTTCTTTCCCAAACACTCTCGAGAACGTTATACCGTGGGGTCTGGGACATACGAGGTATAATTTAAAAAAATTATCAAAGTCCTCGTGTGAGACCGAAGGGTCTTCAGCGCATTTTTGTGTGACAGATCAGTGTTTTATTAGCCAGTGTTGATTCCACCATCAATAAGTCCTTGTCGAAACCTACCACATTCAGTTTGTCGGTACCCGCTTTCCATTTAACCGTAATTCGCGTTTGAAGTTTTGACTCCACCATCAGTAAGATCTTGTCGGGAGCAACTATTACTCCCTTTGTCGGTGCCCACTTCCGACGTCCCATTCACCCGCAATAATTCTCATTTTGGCGGATTTCCGGCACAAAATAGTACTCAATTTTTTGGTACTTCTCATAGTTCGAGCTGCTATTGGCGACACGAGAAATAGAGACCGCGATTCGAGTTCTAAGAAACAATTGGGCGCCCAAAGTAGACTACCCCTCGAAGCGTTCCGTACAAACGGTGGTTCATTTTGCCCCTAGGAAACAAAAACAAGTTGTGCACGTTGACAAGATCTTTCCGACGACACCAATTTGAAAACAATCGGAGAAAAACTGTAGAAGATAGAAAAAAACTGAAAAATCTCCAGGTTAGTATAATACGCTCGGGGATGGCGTCCAGATGTCGCCAACCCCATATCTTGTAGCCCCTTCCCTAAAGTGGGAAGGCCCCGATAGTTAGATGTACACTCCTCGTCTTTTTTCAAGCGTACTTCTACGGGCTCGCATTTACTGCCAGCCAGACTGCCAAAGTGAGATTAAAAGCTGCCGTTTTACAAATAAATTTGCAAAAATGCGCTAAAAAGTTACAGGCGGTAGCGTCTACAGTCTTTGTCCGAATTAAATGAAATATAACAACTGTGTATGGGAGGTAATTATGTATTAAAGCGAGTAATTCAAGTGGTTTTTGTAACTTCACCGGAGACGATAACAATTTTTAAATTTTATATGGGACCCCCTGTATTAGTGTTACCTTACAGACTTCTACTGAATATGACATTCTGAATACAATGACATCTAATATGTCGATTTGTGACATTTTACACTTACAATTTTGAAATTGCAATCAAGCGTGCCATGACGATGTTAAAACCGTCCGCTTTTTTTTAGTCGAGGAAGCGCACGATAATTTCCGAGAAAAGATGATAGAACACGATCCTGCGGAGTATGGAATATTCATTAGGAAATTAAAATTCGACTTTCCCAAAAGCTATGATGTGAGTTTTGAATGTTACGCGATTTTGTGGAAGAACGAAGTACGAACCCCTCAGCATGGGAAGATTCAAAGAAATTGTAAACAATTGAGGAAGGACCTAGAGAAATACGAAAAGTCGACGACATTGATGAAATCGTTGAAGATGAAGCAGTTGAAGGTCTTGCAAAAGCCCACTCCCTTTCCGATCTCGAAGAAGTCGCGCAGGATAGTTTTAGTTTGTAGAAAGCACTTCATTTCGATGAGACCTTTTATTACCATGAAGAACAGAACGTGGCTCCCTCCCCCATTTTCAAAGTTTTATTTGGCACCATTAAAGATGTGTATGCAAAATCTTAGACCAATTGGTTACCGTATGTAAAAGTTATGTCCGTTTTACTTTCAAAAACTGCATGAGAGAGCCCCCCCCCCCCCTAAGATAATGAAATTTGATGGCCGTATGGCACACCTTCAAGATATAGGCTACCTATTGCAAAAAATTCTACGATTCTATGACCATTCCCCTAAAAGTAGTTCAACACGGCAGAAGTGGGTCCGGATGGACGAACAAATAACGCAAACAATATAATAACACAGTTTTTTAAATTGTTTAAAAAATTTGCTAAAAACATAAGAGGAAGGATGAGAAAGAGCGAGCGCAACTAAAAATATGGAGAGAGCGAGAAAGCCCAGACAGGCAAGGAGATGAGGAAGACAAGCAGTTGAGGTATCCCGGAATAGTTGATGAATACCTGTTGAAATACTACACATTGAGCGGCTCTTTCTTTACTTTCTTTGGAAAACAATTTTGTATATCTCTACAATTGTCGCGCCTGCGAAATAGTAGAAGCCGAAACAATAGACAAATCCACAAACGCTGAAAAAATCATAAGAACCGTATTTTAGGAAATCAGGGCTATCAGCAACTAAGGTGGACGAAGAAGAAAAGTCGAAGGATTGAAAGAAGCGAAAAATGAAGAAAATCAATGATGTCATGACAAAGGACAATAGGAAGCTTAGGTTTCTGAAAAAATTGAGGAAGCATAGGATAATGAGGATTTTGAGGGAGTCAAAAGTTTTGGTAAAATTCGTGGAGTTTGGGAAAGCAACGCATCAAAGAAATTCAAGAAGCTCTGGATGTCGATGAAGATGTAAGTGTTGTACACGAAACATGCGATAATGAAGGAGAGAGCCGAGGTATCCAGGGAAGTTTGGGAAAATAAAGAATCTTCGAGATGCTAGATTTTCCTTTTAATTATCCTTAATCATACACTAACGTTATTTCAGGTATACGCTGTATCTTTTCTACGATCTGAATTTTAAATTTGTATTCAATATTCTTACGCCATCTATGTATTTTCTCTGTAAATCCGTTCAGTTTAGATGCAGTTAGTAGTGTTATACGTTTCATTTACAATAGTTCTTTATTTCCCCGCTAGAGGCCACGCTATGTACCTTTCTATCTCTTCTTAAATTTTAGCTTGCGCACAAGCTTTACCTGATCCTTTAGAGGAGATTCTGCTTCAATAGTGGTTGCTCGTGAATTTTTCTAATACGCCATTACTTTTGCGCGACATTTTTGTTTACCTGATTAAGGAATGTAATGGCTGTATGATATTTTGGTGAAGTTTTTCTTTTATGATTTGTTTTCTACACTTCACTGACGCGCTTTTGTGGACAAGTTCTAAGGCCGTTTACGATATGTACCAACAATTTTGTATCAACTTCAACTTTGAATAATGGTTTTTAGGATTTTTTCCTTCTGGCTTAATCTTTTTTTCATTATTGTCTACCTGATTATTGCTATCTACATCAATATTCTTGGTGGAAACCGCAGAATTGTGGATTTTTCATTATCGCACAATAAATAAGGTCCATTGGAAAATTCTAGCGCAATCTTGTGCCAAACCAATCAGGTGATACGTTACTACTGACCTACTTCCAAACATTTACCCCTGGAGATTTGAATATCGTCCCTGAATTGTAACTGCAAGTATTAACGAAACCTTTTGGAGATTATTGCTCTTGTGAATTGCTTCGATATTCCTGATTTTACGTTCATTACTTTTGTCGTTACTCAGGTGATACGTTACTACTGACCTACTTCCAAACATTTACCCCTGGAGATTTGAATATCGTCCCTGAATTGTAACTGCAAGTATTAACGAAACCTTTTGGAGATTATTGCTCTTGTGAATTGCTTCGATATTCCTGATTTTACGTCCATTACTTTTGTCGTTACTCAGGTGATACGTTACTACTGACCTACTTCCAAACATTTACCCCTGGAGATTTGAATATCGTCCCTGAATTGTAACTGCAAGTATTAACGAAACCTTTTGGAGATTATTGCTCTTGTGAATTGCTTCGATATTCCTGATTTTACGTTCATTACTTTTGTCGTTACTCAGGTGATACGTTACTACTGACCTACTTCCAAACATTTACCCCTGGAGATTTGAATATCGTCCCTGAATTGTAACTGCAAGTATTAACGAAACCTTTTGGAGATTATTGCTCTTGTGAATTGCTTCGATATTCCTGATTTTACGTCCATTACTTTTGTCGTTACGAAGAATACATTATTAACTATAAATCAAATATGCATAATGCAGAGTATCCAATGACCACGAGGAAATGACATCTTTCATTTGAGTGAAAAATTTAAATTTTTGGAAATATGTGAACTGTTAGACTGTAGAAAAAATCTCGTGTGTAATTCGAGCGCAAATTGATTGTCGATTTCAAGAGATTGCCGTGCTCCTTCGTACCGGGGCAACTGTCTCTTTCAATCGACAGTATATGTATCAATTTGACAGTAATTTGATTACTGTTAGTATGTTTATGTATTGGCAAGATAACATAGTAAACCGTCGCGACGTTGTTGCAATTTAGGTATGTATTGTTATTTAAACTCTTGGTGTGTTTAGGTACTAACGGTAATTTATCGGTAACGCATCTCACCAATCCTGAGATAACAAAGTAACAAACAAACCAAATAATTTGAATGTAAATACTCTTTGCATAAAACTGTATAATGCTTCGTAAAACACGATACGCCAATGTTAGAGATGTATTACTTTTACACTGTTCTGCACAATTTTGTTTTTTAGGAAACTTCTTATCATGGGCCCCTAATCTCAAAAGTTCCAGTTCCAATCGGAAAATAATTAAGTTAATTATGAATTACTAGAATGACAAGCTATCACCGGAGTCAATTAAGATCATCATTTAGAACCGTCCCCGGAATCTCTAATAAAATGGAAGCCTACAGTAAAAATTGCCAATTTACGCTTAGGACATTTCCCCATATTGCTTTTCGAAGCCATAAAATACCCGAACCTTTCATTTTAACGTACTATCTCCGCAGTTTGTGTAGAAACAATAAAGTCGTGACAACAAGAATTTTTTCATTCATCCTCGATCATACAAACGCATGCTTGGGCACACCAGTAGGTATAAACATATCGTTTACATAAAACTTGCGTGAAACGTACCTTTAATATCTCCGTGAAGTGATGCAACAGAAGGACTCGAACTACAAGATGAGGACAACGTCGACCTTTGGGACACTACGCCGTTTTGGGGATCATCTAAAAGCAAAACGGGGTTAATCAGCAGATTTCTAATTTACATTTGAGTAATAATCTATTGGCATAGTGCTAATGGTTACCTTAACATAAAGATAAACTAATAAGAATAAGTAATGGTGCCCCCATTTGCATTTTATATACTTGAAGGCTAACAGGTAGTTTTAGAAGTTATGGCACTGGTGGATTTGTTTGATTGACTACAATTGCATACTTATAAATAAATGAATAATTGAATTGCACATCACTATATATATTTATTATACGCATAAATATATATAATATAATAGAGGCAGATCGGCGACTGTGCCAAAAATAATTACATTTTTGTGTATTTAAAAAATGACCGCGAACAAATGCTACTACATTTGTTACCACAGTTCAGAAAACTTCGTAACTCGACAAATAGGTAACCATGTTAGTGTACAGGCTGATTCGCGCAAACAGTTACCTAAAAGTCATGATACTACAACTTAACATGTAGTATCATGCCTAAAAGTATTCAGGCTCCCATTAATAATTTGAATCTGAAAATTTGCACACCAACATAGTTTTTCATGATCTATCTAAGTAATATTATCATGATCGTTTCACTTCCGGTTTTACCGGATGTGGGTAGCAACTTTTTTATTCCAAATAGAACACCGTATATTTTATTATATTTTCGAAATCTACATCGAAATCTATGTTGTTTGATAACACATTTTCCTATACCCAGCATCAAAGCTTTTCTTTAGCGCCCTGAACCTATGGCTCCGTTGACTTGAATTTCAAACATTCTTCCAAAATCAACAAGACTGGCGTGATGCTACACATGCGAATGATTTAAATTTTGGTCGCCCTTCTACAGGGTGTTTTAAAATTAATGGTTTAATAACTTAAATTTAATAATTGGTTTTTTCAAATGAAACCTGCTTTATTTTGTTGTACTTTCAAATGTCGAAAAAAATTCTACATCGATCAATTATTACATTCCCTATATCTATCTGTTATGGTTTTCGTTTTATTTAACATTTTCTAAAATTGTGACCGGCAATCTTGTACACCTATGTGGGCACTATTTTTCACAAATAATTATAGAAATAATTATACTTAATAGTATACCGAAAGACAAGTGTTACAATGCGACCTATTGTTTACGACTATCTTGGGGCACGAGTAGCAGACTGAAGCAGAGCGACGAGTGCCCACAAGATAGGACTATTACAATAAAGTATTGTAACACGTGATTTTCATACTATTTCTGGCGCATTTTCCAACGAAGTTAGGTTTGCAGTCACTTTCTCTGTCCGTCCGTCTGTCTGAGGCCTTAACTACTTAACTACTTCTACAGTTTTCAAGATATTTACTTCGTTCTTTTTGCATTCGGTAGCGTATAGCTCTGGCACCTGAGCCAAGAAAAATCTGGACGATTAAACTGCGCATGCGCAGCTGCGTGATATCAACTTTCTTATTTATTAATATATGTTATTGAATTGAAATTTTAATCACAGATACTTCTAATAGAGTCAAACCTATCACATATAGTAAAAATCAGATGTGTGCATGCGCAGACTGAGCAATGCCAACTTTCTTATTTATGGAGGTCTCGGTTAAAATAATTGATTAACCGCTTACATCTTTTTTAGCGCATTTTTTAAGAATTAAAAAAAAATATGCTAGTGTTTGCGTTTTGTCCGTCCGTCCGTCCGGACCCACTTTTACCGTTTTGAACTACTTTGCAGTAGGTAGCCTATACCTTGGTGTCAGACGGCCATCAAATTTCGCTGTCTAAAAGGGTCCCCCAACCACGAATTATTTCCTGAGATGCTGTTTTTGAAAGTAAAACGTGCATAGCTTTTACATACGACAACCAATTGGTCTCAGATTTTGCATACGCATGCCTTTAGTGGTGCCAAGTTAAACTTTAGGAAATGGGGCAAACTATAACTTTCCCGTGCGACTCTTTTTCGAGATCAGTGAGCGACGAGGCCTGAGGGGGGGGGGGGGTTAAAAATTAATTTTATCTCTCATTGTATAGTAATTAAAGGTCTCAACGAAAGGAACCATTTTCTACCAACTACTGCCTTTCTTTCTGTCCTCTTATCAAAGTACGGGGCGGAGGGGGAGGATGGGCAGTGGAACTAGTTTTATTCTTCATGGTACTCTAATGAAAGGTCTCAACGAAAGGAATTCATTTCTACCAACCACAGCGTTCCCCCTCGACCTCTTATCGTGATCGGGTATATTCGCTTATACCTCAAGAATGGATTGTCGGCAGCTATTTCGGTTTAAAAAATGCGCTTTATCTGCACACGAGTTGTGCACAATTTATACTTGTTTATAGCTCTTTGGGAGAAATGACATCCCTTATTAGAAAATCCGTAAAGGTAGTAAAATCTAATATTCGATTACCCTTGGACCACGCTTGCTCCATTCGATCATAGCATTCATATAGTGGAGAAGGGAGTTGGAAACATCCTTTTCTTGGTTATTAATGAAGCTTTGGCAAAATTAGTGGATTGCATGAACTTCTTGGCAGGGTTTGTCATATCGGTGTCCATAATATGTGCTAATTCAGCGAATTCCCCATTTGACCTTTGCAAGTTTGACGTTACTTCCAAAATTCCTGAGTTAGATGTGAATGGGTGGGGTCTTTGAAGGATCTGCAGGCGACATAGGAAAGTTATCGTTAAGAGGTTGAACACATTTTCAAGCAATATGTCCTAGTTGCTTACATTTGAAACATTTTACTTTTTCATCTGATACAAATACCATATTATACTCGTCGTCATATCTTATTACAATAGATGGCAGTAAATCTAGCTCTACATCTTCGTCAATGGCTATGAAAATTGTATACCTACATGATTGTACTCTTCCACTCCTATTCCTGGACCAAAAAAGACAAAGGTGATACCAATTGCAAATTAATCTTTTTCAGTTCGTTTTCAATTACTCGGTAGGGTATGGTGATACATTTGATAAAATTATGCGTTTAGACGGTAATATCAATTTTCTATCATCGAAAACATTGTTAATGTTTTTTCCCTGTAGTGACTAACACATAGTTTTTCACTGATGAACCGTCAATAGACGAGAGTATTATGGCTTGGTCTTTTTTAGAAATGTAGGAGCAGATACTATGTTTGAAAACGATCTCGTCGTAGTGTTCATATTTAATTGGACTTGAGATGCCGCATTAGTTTTATAAGGTTACACCTCTGTGGCAAGAGGTGGTGGGTAAAGGATTAGCGCCGAACGTCGTAATACAAACCAAAGTCAAAGAGAAAAATACGTCCGAACCGTTCACTGTTCACTCGAATACGAGGTTATTTTGTGTATGTGCATGCGGCATTTGACTCTTGTAAACAGGATTTAGCCGACACTATCCGACCGATTTGGTTGAAATTTGAAACAGATGTTTCTTTAGATGGTTTTCGGAGCTCAAAAGGTTTACATGTCGTTAGTCCCCGAGCTACGTACGTTATGAAATTAATAAAAATGGCCAGAGGGTACTTCAATCAAGCGTTTTCAACAACAAAATTGCGAGAGAAGTCCGAAATGTGTACAATATTAATACAAAGTTCATATAATTATGTCGAAATGTGAGGTGTTTATTTAATTATTACTCTTAAGTTGGCAAAAGTGTGCGTAGCATTCCTGATTTCAATTTCTTAAGAGGTTATGTTATTTTGCCACGATTTAATAAACGTTAAAGAAGTTAGAAATTGTTGATACATGTGTTTCTAATTATACCATAATAACAGTAAGTAGTTGTCCACATGTTTTCCATAATTCGTATGCACATTACTTATCGATGAGCAGCAATTTTATTTATTTACGAATTGGGAACATGACAGGTGCATTTTAACTCGTTTTATTAAGAACTCAAGAGAAGGAGATTTAACGGAGCTTAAAATACTAAAAAAGGAAACGCGCTTCAACATATTTTCTACTACAACTTGACTGCACTTAATTATCGGTTGATAAGAAAAATACAATCGAAGTTAATCGGCGGTTGATAACTAAGAGCGGTCTATGGAGGGTGTGAGAGGTGTCCCTTCTCCTTTCGAGTGCATAAGGCGGTCGATGCCACTCACCCGTTGATACGAGAAAGGCGTTCGAGTTATTACCCAGTGAGATTTTGTGATTAAATACATTTGTGGACAAAATAATAGCCGTGATTAAGCAGTGGAATTAGTGAGATTCCAGCTGCCTCACTGGCTGCCATTTTTTTCCATCCATATTACAAGCGATTGAAAACATCTTCGTTTTTGTCGTTTAGGCCTAAAAAATGTATCCCACATTTAGAAACTATTGACGCCGAAGAAAGGTAGTCAAACACAAATCAAGTTTATGTTTCTGGAACGGTTGCGAAAGATTGAGGAACAAACGAAAAGATTTCGAAAACTGTATATAAACACCCAATTTCACAAAGAAATGTAAGGTAACTTTTTGTAACTAATATTAATTTTTGCGAGGTCTAGTTGAGCGCCGGAAATTTGTGGGTTTTCAAGACTGTACACGTACAGTGATTCAACTAGCGCCAATCTCCGGGGAACCGTCAGAGTGTCCCAGATAAAATAACTACTTGCGGGAGATTTCGCAAACGTAAGAGGAAAAAAATGAAAAAGTTGCGATATTCCGAGTTTTTAATTCATTTATGCTGATCGAAATAAAAAATACTGCAGTGGTTTTCAAAGACATCGAATTGTCGTATTTTTGAGAAAGTGAATCCTCACCTTGTAAAACAAATGATGTCCGCTTTTTCCCAATTTGAAAATTTTTGCAAATTAAATTCAATTAAGTAGTGAAAGTAACGCATAAAATTTCACAATTATTTAAAAAAACCTCAATAAATAAAAGCAAATAAATGACAGATTTGTTAGATAGTTATACAACCTATAACATAAAGGAGAGTTACGGCACTTGTTGCATAGACAACTAGTAAGTGAAAAAATTATTTAATAAATTAATAAAGCTTACTGTCGTGTCAAACCAAAGATAGGAAAGACACAACA